TTTTATAGACATTTTCACAAATCTTTTTACTAGTGATCAATTAATTGCTAACTACATGCTTTTTCATTATATCTAAGTCTCATCAACATGATCAAGGTAAGCATTATAAAAACGTAAAACATAAATAATAATTATAAAAAAATATAAATAAATAAAGAGTATTGAATGAATGTAGGTGCAATACTAAATTTAATGAACAAGTTCCCAGCCTCTGGCAAGCACAAATGACAGAATATATGCACGGTCGTGCACTACCATTTTTAAGGATAATAGAAATTAAATTCTGTCTTCTTTTTAATTACAAGTGTAAATAAAACTTTATTCACATTTTCCGTGCGAATAAAGTTTAAATAACAACATAATACATTACTCCCTAATTTAAATGAAATATAAATAACATCGTTGTCTTAAAGTATTAGACACATGTGTCTTCTATATGGATTCTTTACAATTCAATAAAAGAACAAAAGCAAAAAGTACAAAGTTATTGTGATTTAGTGTTTTCTCTTTGTTGCCTTTCCTTTCATATACTTAGATGTTAGTTAATTTTAACATAGATTGATGACACGCAGAAATTTGGCATGATTATTTAGGGAAAGAGAGTCTCGTGTAAAGGACTGTCTTTAATTAATACGCTAAAATAGTTTCCAATACGAATCAAAACATGTCTTTATAAATACAATTGAAAATATTGATAATTGCTACACAGTCTCTTTGTAAATATAAAATAAACATGTTTTGACTTTATACAAAGAAGATATGTTAAGCTTAAAATTTTACACAATATAGGTGGTCACAATATGAATATAGATTGGCTTAAAAAAACTGGCATTTTATTTAAAGAAAGAACAAACTTTGCTTGACCTGTAAATAAACAGAGAACACAGTTTCCAATACCAAGTTTATTTATTCTTTTCTTCAAATTAGACATATTCAGTAAGAATTTCATGGATTTCAATATTTTTTTATGAATTAAAATATTTTACTTAACAATGAGCATAGTGTATCTTTAAGCTGTGTTTCTGAAAATGGTAACAAAAACAGCCAAACAAGTGACAAGTCTTTTAAAATGCCCCCGCAACAAGATCGGAACACACAGACATAAAAATCTAACAAAAAGTGAAACAAGTCTATCATTGTGTTGGCAAACCAAATCTGGAAAAGCCCAGGGATGAAATAGTGAAGTTTTCAACTAAACAACAGAACAAGAAGAAAAAAGCGCTATCAATTAAGGGTTTTACTTAAAAACTGAGGTGTCTTTATAAATGAAAAAAATGACAAATGCGTTATTGTTTTATTTTTATTTTCATTAGGCGATTGGACCTATGGTGAAACTGATTGGAGACTGTTACGTCAACGTACACGAATAAGCACTGAAACTTATCTAATGGCAGTTAAAGCTGCGCGGCTCCAGATGAGCAAAAATATTTCTATGAAACCAAATCTGAGAAAATGTTCTAAGATTTTAGAAAAAGTATAAAGATTAGAGATTCTTGTAACTTACATGTTATGTGTGATTATTGGCCGATTTGTCAGTATCTATAACAATATCTCTACCCAGTTACTAACGCAGTAAGGCCTCTTTTTGCATATTTTGACCTCTTAATGGTAATTTACGTGGATTGGAAGTGCCATTGATAATGTGTAAATTACAATATTTTGGTTACTTTAAAATATTATACTGTAAATTACATTTTCAAATTTTCATGAAAATTAGCATGAACCTGGAGGCGTGCAGCTTTAAAAATGAAGAGGTGAGTAAAGAGTTATTTGAATATTTATATTCTGTGTTCTATTAGACTATTACATTTTACTTCTTTAATACTATGTATACACAATACAATATAACGACTATTGCTAGTATATTCCTTGCTTAATGAATGATTATCGATTGACATACAAAGCGTGCGGTTTAAATTGTCAGCTATACAACCAACTATTAGCTACCAAAGTAAATATAATTGATAAAATATCAAACAATGTGACTTATAAGGGGATATTTTTAATAAAAACTCAAGATTTTACGCATTCTTAAATGGAATTTATTGATAGACAGAAAATAATTATGATTCACGGCACATGCATCGATATGTATCGCTAGTTAACCGGTTTTAAAGTCAATTAAACATGTAGTAAATTAACGTTTATCGTCTATCTTTTGTGAATATTTGCTTGGTCATTTCTGTGTATTTTGTAAGAAGTTAAATTTAAGCATAAAGAACATGACTAGTCCGCTGTCGCCTGGCATAGTACCCGAGAATGTTGACACTGAGACAATATCTAAACCTTTCACAGAAAGTGGGAAATGTAAAGATGAAGTCACGTTAACATTTGACGATGGACAAATACTCTTTGTGTCACAAAATTTCTTAATTTTGGCGTCGCCGGTATTTGAAGCAATGCTCTGTGGGGATTTCAAAGAAACTCAAACGCGGAATGTTGACCTGAAAGAAAAGAAATATGACAGCTTTTTAGAGTTTCTAATGTGCATTCACCCTGGAACGACAACAACTGTTAACAGTAAGTATAAAATAGAGAAAATAAGAATCCCTAAAGAAAGCCCAACACGGCAAAATTAAAAATGTTGCAGGCTCGGTGTGTTTTAGCCTGTTCATGGACGGTGCTGTCAATTGTAAACTACCGTCCACGCCCCCTAGCACCGGCTTAAGCAGAATTCAACATGTAACATGAGCTTGTACAATTTGGAATTTTGAAACATCCGCAGATGTGTTCATATGGCGGTTATCATGGAACCTTTAATCTGACACGTAAGTGCCATTCCATGAAAAGCTGCATATGGACCCAAGTAGAAAAATATGTGTGCCCTAAACTAGAAAACAATGGGCGGAACTAAATAGAATAGAATTTTGAAAGGGGATCAGAGGTTATGAAGCCTGCATATCACAGATAAAACGTCAAAAGACAAATTTAAAAATGAGGCCACATATCCTAACGGTAATTCAACAGTATTCAAGTGAGGAATACTGGAACCACCTAACAAGAAAATAACCGAATAGAAATAACTAAATTACAAGCACAACAAAAATGTCGGGCGATTTTTTACATCCTTCACACGGGGCAAACAACGCTGATGTGGCGATAAAATAGAGGAAATTAGAAACACTAAAGAAAGCCCAACAAGCCCATTAAAGTGGATATCAGTACGGGGATTATAACCTCAAAAATGTTTCCTTTTATTAAGAAAAAATAAAGTTCATTTTATATTAAAAATTTTACAATTTTATCTACATTTATTTCAATCATTACAGGAGACAATGTTCTGGATATGATACATATTGCTGAAGAATATCAGGTTACACGTATCGTATACCAATGTAAACTGTGCCTGAAACAGTGGCTCAACGATGAATTTGAGACAGCACGAAAGAGGAAATATATTGAGGATTATGTAAAACCGGCTCGAAACTGCCTATATATCCTAAAGACAGCTGTAGTGGTAAACAACAGTGAGTTAATAACACTTGGCGTTGAAATAGTATCTCAATTCGGGCATGAGATATATCTTGGGTTACATAAAACAGATTTCATTCCCGACAAAAAAATGTTCAGTGAATGTACAGAGGTCTTCAAAAGTTTACCAGCTGATGTAAAGTATGACGTACTTGCTCGGAGATTGGCACTTTACCCTGACAATAACTTCAAAGTGGTAGAGTCAGTAAAATTGGGAAAACAAGTCTCACAATCCGGTAACTAATCCCGCCACCGCTCTCACTCCTTATCCCTTTCCACTCAGAGATTTTCCAGACCATCTGGGACGTTGATCAGACCATCTATCTAGGACGTGAATTGTACAATCCAGGGCGTCAAAAACGTGAATCAGTTCAATCACAACGTCCTTACAAGCGGACGCACAGTAAAAACGTTATTATGGTTTAGAAGGATTTTTTTTTAATTTTTACTTAGTTCTCAATGAAGCGCATCTGTGTTTTAAATTCTGCCCACTAAGACTGTTGTCATTATCAGTTGTTTTGTTGGTGTTATGTTTGATGGTTAAAAGCTTCTAACCATTTGATTGGCCTGTTATGATAAAGCTATCTTTTAATCTATTCACAAAGTCAATAGTTTTAAAAACAGACATTTGAAAAGTGCATGTACTTATTGAAACAGTCATACTGTTATTTGAGTAGTGATTGCTAAGATTATGATGATGGTGGTTAATAACCCACAAAATGAGTACAATACTTTTTACTTTTTATCAAAATGATTTTTCTTGAATGGAGAAGATTTATTGTTAATCATAGCATATTATAGCATAAAATCGGCTATTGTTCCCTCTTTTGCCCATGTTTTAACAGGACCAAAACCATATGTTAACAGAGTCATCCGCTCTTGTTATAGCCCGCTTTTCATACAATACAATATACAGCGCCCTGTTAACCAAAAAAGAAAAAAAAGAATTAAAAATGTACGCCGATTTGTTGTTGTTCCCTTATTGTTTTCTCGTATACGGTAAGTATCTTCCCCTATGCCCCTCAGTTTTATTTCTTTAATTACCCCCCCCCCCCTTCCCCGGTCTCCTGTCCCCTTCCCTGTGCCCTTTGACTTTGTGGGCCTATTATTCAATTATTTATTTCTTTTCTTTGCATTCTTTATCAGTTACAAATTGTTTATTATTTGGTGATTAACCTGTCGTGCTCTGTCTTGTGCCCTGTCCTGTTTTTGGGGGCCCGCTTGGGCTCCTTGCAACTGGTTCTTGTATCTGGGTCGTATGGGGGTTGCGTTCATTTTTGATCTTGTTTATCATATTTTTTTACCTATTTTCCCAAAAGAGTCATGCGCTCTTGTTATAATGACATTATGTATCATTTATCGCAGCAACAAGTACCTATGCCGGAAATAGTATAGACATCGCCGCTAATCTTGGTTGTCGCCATTTCTAAGGAGCGGTTTTTGAAAATTTGTCAATGTAACAAATATCTGCCATTCAGTTTAACTGTCCGATTAACTATGAAATCACGATAAGACAAAATAAAAAAAGAAATTTTTCTTTTATTGTTATTTATATTGATAACTGCTCTTTATATTTCTTTCTGAGAATGGCGTTTAGTACCAGTTTTTTTAAAAAACTTGTGTGCTTGAAAAAAACGATTCTGATGTCAAGTCTATATGCCTTAATCTTTCTTCTACCGTCTATCTGAAATCAATTTCGGAATATCTGAGGTCCTGTCTTTGGTAGAGTATTTTGAATGTTTTGTCTTGAGTTAAAAAATCTCCAATATTAAGCTTTGTTTAATCATTTAAAGTTCGAGATTTGGTTCGGCTCTTAGCATGTGTGTTTCCCAAGTTGTTGGCCCCGGAAAAATAAAACGCATACGTAATGTTGAAATGTACGTTTATTAATGAACAATAAGTAATAGAAATTCAATCAAGTGCGTTGATACAATGAAGTTAAATAAACACGACTAGTTTCAGTACAAGACATAAATTTATTCTGTTAAGCCTTAGCATGTGATCTTATAAATTTACTATAAATACTGAGCATGCGCTAACAAGCATTACGCAAAGGGTCAATTCAAGTTTATCATGTATGATAATACACGTAAAACATATTGAATTGGATAAAAACCGTTCCACAAGGCTTTAATGTAATTTTGTATAAAATAAGCATTATGAATTTGGTTAAAAGTTTTGTGCTATAATAGCGTCAACGCACGTCCGTGTTATTAAGTTTACAGAGTCCCTCGTAACTGCTGGTGGCCTCGCCCTAACGGGTTCGGGCACCAACCGTTCCACGGTTCATTCAAGCATAATAATACAAAATAAAAATAAGAAAATGTTGTTTAATTGTTATTTTTAATGACAAATACTCTATATTTCTTTGTCAGAATAAGGTTTAGTGCCAGTTTGTTTTATATAAACTTGACGAAAATAAAATCCGTGGTTCTGTTGTCAGGTCTAAATGTCCCTGATTATACTGTTAATCTGACAGCGGATATGCCGACGGACGAACGGATGGACGGACGGTTAAACTTAAGTGAACTGTAAACCCTTAAGTTCTCGGATAAACCGTAAGCTAGACAACCGGCATAATATCAAAAATATAGTAAACAACAAGTATCTATAAAAAAGATACTTGGCTGAGATATATCTGCTTTTGCTGTATTCATGAAAAAGGTAGCAGTGCCTGTTTAATGATAAAATAATTATAGTAATTACTTGTGCAAATACAAATTGTGAGTGCAACCAGTTATGTGAGTCTCTATGAACAGGCTCAATCAAACCGAGCCTGCAACATTTTCAATTTTGTCGTGTTGGGCTTTCTTTAGGAATTCTGTATTTATCTATCTCAGTAAGGTTAGTCCAACAAACTGTATTAAGAGTTCATGTATTGTGCTAGTTTATGTATGGGCAACATCACCCCTCCACGATATATAAGCGATATTCAGACCCACCTCAAAAATATGCTAGAAACAAGCTTTTGATGTTGAAATAGTTTGACTATCAAATCAGAAGATTCTGAATCACAAGCGTGGTTCCCTCAAAGAAGAAACATTGCGCGGAACCAAATAAGAAATAACAAAACGGGTTCAGAGGTTTTGAAAATCTAGAAAAGGAGTGGACCCTAGGATGCAATGAAAACAACAGTATTGTATGAAAATTGCAGACTCCGTTTGATTTAGTCTGTTGAAAATTAATAGGAAAGTGCAACATACCTCACTGGCTTAATCAGTATTCAGTTTTCTGTTTGCAACGCTTCTATGCTATGACCAATGATCCCATAGGAACAGAAAAATAAACATATGAGGTATTTGGCACCTTATTATTTTTTTACAAAGAGCAAATATTAAAGTATCGAGAATTTCCTTAACCTTTGCATGACTTAAGAGAATCATAAAGAAAACATTTCAATTGCTCTTTTTATCACTTTCAGGAGAAAATAACTCTTCACAGTGGAGGAAAACAATTGATTTGATTTTAAATTTGTATTTGTGTCTTAATTGCCTGGAATGGTGTAAAAATTGTTCAAATTCTTTGCAACAGATTTTATTATATAGTGGTTTATGCGAACTGATATTATTGTATAACTTCGGGATCAACGGGTCCACATTTGCCTAAGCATTAACTAATCTTTCAACTTGATGAAAAACAAATATGACGCACAGAGGCCCGATTGGTCTCTTATCTTCTTCACGGTATATCTTGCATCTTCATCAACTATGGCTTTGACAATGCTGATGTCTTTTATAGAGGTAGAGGCAATTAGCCTCCCAGGGCTGGGATCATGATAGACATCCTTGAGATTCTACCTTCCATAAACGTTAACACCCACCTGGCATTTGTACGATATGGTAGGGCATTTTCTGTAGATCCGTTTTATTCTATTTCTAACGCGTATTTACCCAATTAACCACGAAAATTGCAATAAGCTCTTTACAACCATTATACAAAATCACATGTATTTAAATAATCTGCTGGTTAGAAAAATTAATAACTTTCCAACGGCATATTATACATCTACTTTCACGGGTAACCAATGGACAAAACAATATACACTTGGCATGATATACAGTAGCATATAATATATACTGTTTCATCTGATACATTGTAGGGAAATAAAAGTCTACACTTTTCTTTACCTTTTCTTTAATTATTGTTTAGTTGTCATTTATAAAAATTGCGCAAGCTAATCTTATTAGAAATGATTCACATTACTCGTTTGCATTTTCTTAGTATATCGTTCAAAAACTTCCAACAACTGCAAAATTATTCTTAATTTTGGTGCACAAATTTTCATGGTTTTCGTGAAAGTTCAATCCACGAATTTGAGATCCAGCGAAATTTGATTATCGTAAATTTAACGAGGCAATCAACAGTGTGACACCTGCTAGGGATTGAACAACCTTGTCGCTTACTTCATTTAGCCTCTCAAGATTTCCATCCAATTACCTTTAATTAAATCATTTATTAAAACGTTGTAAGATATATATTGTTTTTGATTTAATTTTAATTAAAGCAGCACGCCTCCAGATAAGCAAAACTATTTCAATAAAATCAAGCCTGAGAAAAAAAATGTACTAAGTGTAAGGAAAAGTAAGAAGAATAAAAATTATAGCATTAATTTACATTTTATATGCGATAAATGACCGATTTGTCAGTATTTATAGCGATATTTCTACTGTGTTATTAACGCAGTAAGGGTCATTTTAATATATTTTGCACTTTTTATGGTAATTTACAAGGGTTGTAAGTGCCATTTATAATGTGCAAATTGCATTCCTTTGGTAACTCCACAATATTATTCTGAAATACATTTTCAAATTGTCATGAAAATCAGCATGAATCTGAAGACTGCTGCTTTAATTTGTTTATTGGTTATTCTACGTTAACTCCAGTGTCTACGAATTGAATTTCCGTGAATTTAAATAGAAAACGAAAGTAGTATGCTGACAATATTGCAAAATGCAAATAATGTTGTGTAAAATAATCTTACAGCAGACTTATTCAAATTTCGCTGGATCTCAAACTCGTGTATTGAACTTTTCACGAAAACCATGAAAATGTGTGTCCAAAATTAAGAATAACTTTGCAGTTGTTGGATGTTTGAACGATATACGTAATAATTAGAGCTGGCAACGAATACCAAAATTAATACTCGAGTACTCGGTCATTTTTCCGATCGAATACTCGGTCACTCGGATAATTTCAAATGATCTTCAAAGTTGAATTACACAATATCAGATGTGCTTGTAACATTTATTTGATCTAATATGTGTTTAACCTTGTTATGTATTCAATAAAATACACATATTTTAAAACAATCAAAAAGAAAAAAAAACCTGGTTATATTGTTATGGCGTACCCATAGATTTCGAGGGGAACAAATCTATACAAAGGGTAATCGAAAAATATCATTTTCGTTACATTTAACACTACGAATAGTGCAGTTCATTCCGTTTGTAATTATCTTTATCAATTGATTTTTCTTTTCTGCAAATCATTTCCGGAAAATAATAAGAATAAACACCACAGCTACAATACCACCAACCACTATTATACAGTACTTTAACAAAAGTTTACTGCTCCTTTATCTTTGAAATACCTTGGCGGTTATAAAGGGTGTAGTATATTTGGAATGAAGACGTTTTATGATAAAGCCCGCTCATGTCAATCGCTCTTCAAAATATTAATTGCTTTAAATAACCATATCGATGTGATGTTATCGGCTTATATATATGTAATTACTATACATTACCAATCTGTATTGACAAAACGTCATTTAGTTTAAGCGTCAAAAATGTAGATAAGATTCATTGTAGTGTATATTGATTGTTTTATAAATGTCTACTGCTAGGATTAATTTGTGTATCAAATCAATTTAAATTTGTTGTATTCGTTAAACGGCTGATTGAAGAAGACATAAATTTGTATTAATTTATTTATTCAAGGATTTGATAAGAAAAGATATTTGAAATGAGTTCACACACAGAAAATGAGAAGGAGGAAGAATGACCAAAGTGTCCAGAGCCATTTACCGCACCTGGAAAGTGTACGGATGAAGTACGTTAAGTTTTCGATGATCAACAAGAACTGTATGTGTCACAAAACCTACTAGTGCTGTCTTTGCCAGCGTTTGAGGCCATGTTCAAGAATGATTTCAAAGAAAAGCAGCAATCAGCTGTCTTGTTGAAAGAGAAGAACTACACAGACTTTCATGAATTTTTGATGTGTATTCATCCTGGGACATTAAAGCCAGTTACAGGTAAAAAATCATATTTTATTACTGACACAAATATTTAATGTCATGTTTATCCTTAATTACGTGTACATATGATCATTGTTAAAGTTTATCTATGCCTTTCATCAGCTTAACAAAGTTATTTTGTTTATCAGGAAAGAGGAGGCGGTTTACTTATTCTGTCTCTAGTCAATGAATCGTGAGATCCGAAAGGTTCATGAACTCAAAAGGTTCTCAAAAGGTTTTTGTTTCATTTGAAATTTAAAGAAAGAAACATATATTAAATTGAAAACATAAAAATTACAATACCAAAATTAGTGTCAAGGCCAAGAATATAACCTTTGTCTGATAAAAAATGTTATATCAGACACTAGCATAGTATTTTCCTAATATCAGGTCAATTTGATGGTAACATATGCATATTTTTCAATATGTCTACATAGCATTAACAATGTTCTTTGTTTTCTTTTTTATAGTACGCGTTTTACATAGCAAATATATTAGTACATTAATAGGTAAGCGTTTAGTCTATCGAGTTGTGTAAATGCTTTTGTTTCCATGATTAAAAAGTTATATATAACTAAATATAATTCCTGGATCAATTGTTTCGGTAGGATGTGTTGGGGAACAAGGAACCCTCATTCGTGTGTCTGAAATACTGTATTCCTAAAAAGGATTTCGCACGTTTTAAGTTAGGAATTGCGCAGTTTAACGTTCAATTTGAAGAGTTTTTTTCTTAATTTAAAAAGTCTTTGAATACAGGATTACATATTATTGTTTTCTTCATTCCTACTTTTCTATATACTTGTGCATTTGATTCAGTTTCACATACCGCAGAGTAATTTCCTTATTATTAATATCTAGGCAGCAAAGCAAAAGGGGAAAAAAAGAGAGTAAATGATAAAATTGTTATATGTTTTGATTTGTGTATTGAGCGTAAATGTTTATTTAAAATTACATGGTTAAACAAAATCGGTTAATTTGATGGTAGTTTTCGATCTGTAACAAACAGTATTGCAAAAACAAATAAATTTCAGTAACATCTCAGTCCTGCCTGTCATATTGCATTTCCTTATTTCTTTCCAGAATCCAATGTTCTGCTCATTGTACCTATAGCGGAAGAATATCAAGTTGACTCTATCATTCAAAGTTGTAGATCGTTTATGAAAAAATGGCTTGACAAAGAATATGTATCTGCTAAAAGGAATGGTGATCATTATTTTCATTTCGTAGTGCCAACGCGACACTGTTTAAGTATTCTTACGACGTCTTTGGCACTGAATTACAAATCACTTGTAGACAACGCTGTGGACATGCTCGCCAAACTATCACATAGAATATATTATGGCTCACATGTACCTGATACTCTCGACTTCCGCTATCTTTCACGTACACTAAACCTAAACGGAAAAGAGACCAATGTCCGTGAAACAATTGATGAATGTAAAACAATATTCCAGACCCTTCCTGCTGAGCTTAGATGTACAATATTAAGCAAAAGACTGGCACTTGATAGAGACAATGTCGCCAAGTAGCCGCGTGATAAAAGTGACGCGCAAGAAAAAAACAACTTCACATGACACGATGCTATTTAATAGGTTTTATTTTGATTCAGAGAAGACAGCTTTTACTTGATTAAATTAAATGTCAGTATGATTTCATTTACATGATTTTAGGACAAAATGTTCAAATAGAATCATAACATGTATCTTTATGACTTTACATTATTATCATTATCATTCTGATTATTTTTGTGTTTTGTTAAAAGTGTATTTTTTTTAATTGCAAAATAAATGATTTAAGTGTAATTTGTTTTCAGTCACATGTTTATACTATTTCACACCAGAAATATTTTCATCTGCATGCACTTTTGACCAGTAACATGCAATTCGACTCAATATTTACTGCAGCAATCGGTACGCGTCGGATTTTATAAATATCTTTGCACGGATTGAAAGTATTTCTACCAAGTGGTTTTAGATGTAAAACAAAACAGACAAATTATTTTTGACGATGTATAACGAATGTTTATACAGTTGACTCTCAATAAGTCAAAGTCGCTTTACTCAAAATTCCGCGTTAGTCGAAGAATTTCTAAAGTCCCGCCAATTTCCTTCTTTATCTTTTCATTTAAACTCCGCTTCGGTCAAATTTTGACTTACCGAGACTCCTGATTAGTCGAAAAGAAAAATTTGGTCCGATCAATGACATTTTTTCATCTCAGTTAGTCGAAGTGTGAAAACAGCCAACAGATCAAAAGTCGGCGACATTAAAGTGAGATGTTGTCATTCGTGATTTACACGTTTCATAGTAATTTTAATTGCCGGTCATCATGTATTATTAACACGTCGTAAAAGTGGCTTTAATCGGTTCCAGGACTTAATTGGTTTTAACACTCGGTTGGATAACTAAATTAAGATTTAATTAGATTATTTGTAATTAAGCACTATTATAGAAAGTTGACTCGTGCCAGTCTGACAGGTTTTAGTCAAATAATAGCCCAAGTATTGATGTGTGTTATCAACGTAAATGACATTTGTATTTGACATACAAAGGAATTACGCACGCGCAAAATGGCTGCTAAGTAATGGTCAGCTGTGTATTACATACTTTTCGAATAACCATAAAAATTTATGGAAAAAGTGATCCCGTTGGAAGTATCAAAAACAGCAAAATTACTTGAAAATTGCAGACTCGGTTTGAGTCTGTACATGACGGATAATAAAAAAAAGTGCAACATCCCTCACGCTCCCTAGCACTGGCTTGAGCTATACTCAATCCTCAACACTTAAAAGGCTGGAGACAATGATCCCGAATGACAAGAAATATATAACAACACTAAAGTGAAGTACGGGGAATTTTTACGGCTGCCTCATAGCACTTGACACCAGCTGTTATGATGTATGACTATCTGGAAAAAAAATGATTCATCAGAAGCATTAAAAACAGTGAATGTATATGAAAATTGCAGACTCGGTTTGATTGAGTCTGTACATGAAACTACTCAATTCTCAAAACTGGATAGTGCTGCAGTCAATGATATCGATGGACCAATCCATTAAGGGAATTAGACCCGTTACCAAATGTAACCAAAATAAAATAATAAAAAAAAATCAATAAAAAACGCACACGCACGTGCGTTCGCAAACCCGCACACACGCACGCACGTACACACACGCGCGCGAGCACACACACACAAATAGAAAATATAAAAAATATAACTGAATATATGTATCATAATTGTTCGGAGATAATAACATGTAAAGTTCTTTTTAAATACTTGTGAAATGCTAAGTAATAGTTTCTATTTCGAATCAAAGCTTCTTTTCATTGAATGACATTTTGAGAGAGTGCAAAAAATTCAAAAATGTTGTCTTCATATCTAAACGATGTTTCCGGAAATAGTAACGTAAATAGGTAATACGACTTGCCAGTCTTCGGAAAAGTCCCGTAAAACAAACCCTGAACCTATATACGTAAAATCTTACAAATACCGAAAGCACTAAATGATCACTCCACAAGTTCAGTTTGGCCGATATCATTGTGTTGGCAAACAACAGTTGGGAAAGCCCAGTGAAATGATAGTGAAGTTTTCAGCTTACAGTTGAACAATCACGGGCCGAGGCGTCTTAATTTATGAAGACTGACAATATGGGTCTGCTTTTGGATTCTTTCGGGTACGACAAGTATCGAAAGATTGATATTCAACTGGGTCTTGGACATATATTGACATTTATGACTCAGCGTACATTGAACAACCTATGAAGCTGAGCAAAGGGCACTTTAAAGTGTAGAGGCGCATAAATGATCATTTGAATATAATTCTCAACGTTCCGTTCCATTAGATTTCATTGTACTTTTAAAAATATATATATTATTAAAGAAATATACGGCTATTGCTTCTTGTAAAGGTTCAAATTTCATTTGAATATTGTATTTATTATTGATTTTCCTATAACGTGTGCATTCATTTACAGAAGTTTATATTGTGAGCTTTAAAATTTAAGTAAGTTAATATGATTTTTTAAATCTTTGTTATATTACGAGGAGACAATTGTTTTGATAAAACTCAAGGTTTTACGCAATATGAACTGGAATATATTGTTAAACAACAATTATAATTCAGGACACACATATCGTTAGTTAATCAGTTTTAAAGTCAGTTATACATTTAGTAACTTAACGTTTATCGTGTATCAATTGTGAATATTTACGTGGTTGTTTCTGTATACCTTGTGAAAAGTAAGATCTAAGCATAAAGATTATGACTAGCCCGGTGTCGCCTACAATAGAACTCGAGAATGTTGACACTGAGACAATATCTAAACCCTTCACAGAAAGTGGGAAATGTAAAGATGAAGTCACGTTAACATTTGACGATGGACAAGTACTCTTTGTGTCACAAAATTTCTTAATTTTGGCGTCGCCGGTGTTTGAAGCGATGTTCCGTGGGGATTTCAAGGAAAAACAAACGAGGAATGTTGACCTGAAAGGAAAGAAATATGACGGATTTTTAAAGTTTCTAATGTGCATTCACCCTGGAACGACAACAACTGTTAACAGTAAGTATAAAATAGAGAAAATAAGAATCCCTAAAGAAAGCCCAATACGGCAAAATTGAAAATGTTGCAGGGGCGGTGTGTTTGAGCCTGTTCATGGACGGTGCTGTCAATTGTAAACTACCGTCCACGCCCCTAGGACCGGCTTAAGCAGAACTCAACATTTAACATGAACACGTAAGTGTCATTCCATGAAATGCGGCATATGGACCCAAGTAAAAAATGCGTGTGCCCTTAACTAGAAAACAATCGGCGGAACTAAATAAAATGGAATTTTGAAACGGGATAAGAGGTTATGAAGCCTGCATATTACAGATAATACGTCAAAAGACAAATTTAAAAAGCAGGCCACATATCCTAACGGTAATTCAACAGTATTCAAGTGAGGAATACTGGAACCACCAAACAAAAAATAGCCGAATAGAAATAACTAAATTACAAGCACAACAAAAATGTCGTGCTGAACGATCTTAAAGGATCGGAAATACAACTGTCTGATTGAGTGTACGGGGCGACTTTTTACAGTCTTCACACGGCGCAAACAACGCTGATGTGGCGATAAAATAGAGGAAATTAGAAACCCTAAAGATAACCCAACAAGCCCAATAGAGTCGATATCAGTACGGGGATTATAACCTCAAAAATATTTCTTTATTTTTCTTTTTTTTAAGAAAAAAATAAAGTTCATTTTATATTTAAAACTTTACAATTTTATCTACATTTATTTAAATTTTTACAGGAGACAATGTTCTGGACATAATACCTATTGCTCAAGAATATCAGGTTAGACGTATTGTATACCAATGTAAACTATGCATGAAACAGTGGCTCAACGATGAACTTGAGACAGCACGAAAGAGGTATTATATTGGGGATTATGTGAAACCGGCTCGAAACTGCCTATATATCCTAAAGACAGCTGTAATGGTAAATTACAGTGAATTAGTTACACTTGGTGTTGAAATAGTATCTAAATTTGGGCATCGGATATATCTTGGGTTACATAAACCAAGTTTCATCACCGAAAAAGATATGTTCAGTGAATGTACCGAGGTCTTCAAAAGTTTACCAGCTGATGTAAAGTATGACGTACTTGCTCGGAGATTGGCTCTTTATCCTGATAATAACTTCAAAGTGGTAGAGTCAGTACAATTGGGAAAACAAGTCTCACAATCCGGTAACTAATCCCGCCACCGCTCTCACTCCTTATCCCTTTCCACTCAGAGATTTGCCAGACCATCTATCTAGGACGTGAATTGTTCAACAACCCAGGGCCTCAAAAACGTGAATAAGTTCAATCACAACGTCCTTAAAAGCGGACGTACAATAAAAACGTAATAATGGTTTAGAAAGATTTGTTTTAATTAAACTTAGTGCTCAATTTAGCGCATCTGTGTTTTAAATTCTGTCCACTAAGAATGTTGTCATTATCAGTTGTTTTTGTTGGTGTTATGTTTGATAGTGAAAAGCTTCTAACCATTTGACTGTCCTAACATTTTATTTTTAAAACCTACTTTACACATAACATTAAAACAAACATGCTTTCAATTAAAATATAGAAAAATGCCAAACATTTGAAAAGTGCATGTACTTATTGAAACAGTCATATAGTTATTTAAGTAGTGATGATGATGGTGGTCAATTACCCTCATAATTAGTACAATAAACTACTCACATTTTACATTTTAACGAGATGATTTTTTATTGAATGGAGAAGATTATATTGATAATTATAGCATAAAATCGGCTTTTATCCCCGCTTTTGCCCATGTTTTAACGGGACCCAAACCATGTGTTAACAGAGTCATGCGCTCTTGTTATAGCCCGCTTTTTAGACTGATTGCTGGCGGCATCCATTTTTGCGTATCTGATTGTAGTGAACGAATGTCATTTAAAGCGTAAAATCATTAGGAGCAGTCTACAAAAATTGTTTTGCGCATGCTCCGTTTCAAAATAAGACTTAGCTTAAACGAAAAATTAACATCGAAGTGAACAAATCGGTACATAGAAAAATCGGTTGTTCCCTTTTAAAAAAAGTACCCCTAATGCGCCGTTGCTCCGGCATATAATCATTCAAAACATTTAAAAAAATAAAGTGTAAAACAAACTTTCATTATGATACTATATTCAATACATGTATATATAATTAATTCCATTTTGTTAAATAATTGTAATTTATAACCATTCATTGTGTCGTTTATGCAAAATATCCCAAAATATTTTCGAATTAAACAAATCTTCTACAGCATCAAAAAGACCTCTCTCATGCTTCTTTTTAAAGAAGCAAACTTGTACAATACATTATACAGGGGCTGGTAAACAAAAAACAAATGAATAAAAAAATGTACGCCGATTTGACCTATTTTGCCAAAAGAGTCATGCGCTCTTGTTATAATGACATTATGTATTCGAGGGCTTTATCGCAGCAAACAAGTACCTATGCCGGAAATACGGCGTATACACATCGCCGCTAATCTTGGTTGTCGCAATTTCTAAGGAGGGGTTTTCGGACATTTGTCAATGTTAACAAATATCTGCCATTCAGTTTATTTAGAAAACACGATAATACAAAATAAAAAAAGAAAATGTTCTTTTATTGTTATTTAATATATTGATAAATACTCTTTATATTTCTTTGTGAGAATTACGTTTAGTGCCAGTTTATAAACTTGTGTGCTTGGAAAAAAGGTTCTGATGTCAAGTCTAATTGCCTTAAACTTTCTTCTACCGTCTATCTGAAATCATTTTCGGAATATATGACGGTCATGTTATTTCTTTGGTAGAGTATTTTGAAAAATCTCCAATGTTAAGCTTTGTTAAATCATTTAAAGTTCGACATTTCGTTCAGCTCTTATCATGTTTGTTTCCCAAGTTGTTGCCCCGAAAATAAAACGCATATGTTATGTTGAAATCTACGTTTATTAATGAACAATAATTAATAGAAATTCAAGCAAGTGCGTTGATACAATGAAGTAAAAACACGACTAGTTTCAGCACAAGATATAAATTCATTCTGTAAAGCCTTAACATGTATCTTTACACAAACGTTCCATGTTATTTTCAGCAATATCTATAGGCATGAAAGCTATAATACACGTAAAACATGTTGAATTGGATAAAAACCGTTCAACAAGGATTTCATGTATTTGTTTTGTATAAAATAAACATCATGAATCTTGTATAAAATTATATGCTGTAATAGCTTCAACGCAAGTTTTTCTGTTTTATTATGTCTACAGAGTCTCTCGTAACATCTGGTGGCCTCGCCCTAAAGAGATTATCTACATTTATTTAAATTTTTACAGGAGACAATGTTCTTGACATAATACCTATTGCTCAAGAATATCAGGTTAGACGTATTGTATACCAATGTAAACTATGCATGAAACAGTGGCTCAACGATGAACTTGAGACAGCACGAAAGAGGTATTATATTGGGGATTATGTGAAACCGGCTCGAAACTGCCTATATATCCTAAAGACAGCTGTAATGGTAAATTACAGTGAATTAGTTACACTGGTGTTGAAATAGTATCTAAATTTGGGCATCGGATATATCTTGGGTTACATAAAACCAAGTTTTCATCACCGAAAAAGATATGTTCAGTGAATGTACCGAGGTCTTCAAAAGTTTACCAGCTGATGTAAAGTATGACGTACTTGCTCGGAGATTGGCTCTTTATCCTGATAATAACTTCAAAGTGGTAGAGTCAGTACAATTGGGAAAACAAGTCTCACAATCCGGTAACTAATCCCGCCACCGCTCTCACTCCTTATCCCTTTTCCACTCAGAGATTTGCCAGACCATCTATCTAGGACGTGAATTGTTCAACAACCCAGGGCCTCAAAAACGTGAATAAGTTCAATCACAACGTCCTTAAAAGCGGACGTACAATAAAAACGTAATAATGGTTTAGAAAGATTTGTTTTAATTAAACTTAGTGCTCATTTAGCGCATCTGTGTTTTTAAATTCTGTCCACTAAGAATGTTGTCATTATCAGTTGTTTTTGTTGGTGTTATGTTTGATAGTGAAAAGCTTCTAACCATTTGACTGTCCTAACATTTTATTTTTAAAAACCTACTTTACACATAACATTAAAACAAACATGCTTTCAATTAAAATATAGAAAAATGCCAAAACATTTGAAAAGTGCATGTACTTATTGAAAACAGTCATATAGTTATTTAAGTAGTGATGATGATGGTGGTCAATTACCCTCATAATTAGTACAATAAACTACTCACATTTTACATTTTAACGAGATGATTTTTTATTGAATGGAGAAGATTATATGATAATTATAGCATAAAATCGGCTTTTATCCCCGCTTTTTGCCCATTTTTTAACGGGACCCAAACCATGTGTTAACAGAGTCATGCGCTCTTGTTATAGCCCGCTTTTTAGACTGATTGCTGGCGGCATCCATTTTTGCGGTATCTGATTGTAGTGAACGAATGTCATTTAAAGCGTAAAATCATTAGGAGCAGTCTACAAAAAATTGTTTTGCGCATGCTCCGTTTCAAAATAAGACTTAGCTTAAACGAAAAATTAACATCGAAGTGAACAAATCGGTACATAGAAAAATCGGTGTTCCCTTTTAAAAAAAAGTACCCCTAATGCGCCGTTGCTCCGGCATATAATCATTCAAAACATTTAAAAAAATAAAGTGTAAAAACAAACTTTCATTATGATACTATATTCAATATATATAATTAATTCCATTTGTTAAATAATTGTAATTTATAAACCATTCATTGTGTCGTTTATGCAAAATATCCCAAAATATTTTCGAATTAAACAAATCTTCTACAGCATCAAAAAGACCTCTCTCATGCTTCTTTTTAAAGAAGCAAACTTGTACAATACATTATACAGGGCTGGTAAACAAAAAAACAAATGAATAAAAAAAATGTACGCCGATTTGACCTATTTTGCCAAAAGAGTCATGCGCTCTTGTTATAATGACATTATGTATTCGAGGGCTTTATCGCAGCAAACAAAAGTACCTATGCCGGAAATACGGCGTATACACATCGCCGCTAATCTTGGTTTTCGCAATTTCTAAGGGGGTTTTCGGACATTTGTCAATGTTACAAATATCTGCCATTCAGTCTTTATTTAGAAAACACGATAATACAAAATAAAAAAAGAAAATGTTCTTTTATTGTTATTTAATATATTGATAAATACTCTTTATATTTCTTTGTGAGAATTACGTTTAGTGCCAGTTTATAAACTTGTGTGCTTGGAAAAAAGGTTCTGATGTCAAGTCTAATTGCCTTAACTTTCTTCTACCGTCTATCTGAAATCATTTCGGAATATATGACGGTCATGTTATTTCTTTTGGTAGAGTATTTGAAAAATCTCCAATGTTAAGCTTTGTTAAATCATTTAAAGTTCGACATTTCGTTCAGCTCTTATCATGTTTGTTTCCCAAGTTGTTGCCCCGAAAATAAAACGCATATGTTATGTTGAAATCTACGTTTATTAATGAACAATAATTAATAGAAATTCAAGCAAGTGCGTTGATACAATGAAGTAAAAAACACGACTAGTTTCAGCACAAGATATAAATTCATTCTGTAAAGCCTTAACATGTATCTTTACACAAACGTTCCATGTTATTTTCCAGCAATATCTATAGGCATGAAAGCTATAATACACGTAAAACATGTTGAATTGGATAAAAACCGTTCAACAAGGATTTCATGTATTTGTTTTGTATAAAATAAACATCATGAATCTTGTATAAAATTATATGCTGTAATAGCTTCAACGCAAGTTTTTCTGTTTTATTATGTCTACAGAGTCTCTCGTAACATCTGGTGGCCTCGCCCTAAAGAGATTATCTACATTTATTTAAATTTTTACAGGAGACAATGTTCTTGACATAATACCTATTGCTCAAGAATATCAGGTTAGACGTATTGTATACCAATGTAAACTATGCATGAAACAGTGGCTCAACGATGAACTTGAGACAGCACGAAAGAGGTATTATATTGGGGATTATGTGAAACCGGCTCGAAACTGCCTATATATCCTAAAGACAGCTGTAATGGTAAATTACAGTGAATTAGTTACACTTGGTGTTGAAATAGTATCTAAATTTGGGCATCGGATATATCTTGGGTTACATAAACCAAGTTTCATCACCGAAAAAGATATGTTCAGTGAATGTACCGAGGTCTTCAAAAGTTTACCAGCTGATGTAAAGTATGACGTACTTGCTCGGAGATTGGCTCTTTATCCTGATAATAACTTCAAAGTGGTAGAGTCAGTACAATTGGGAAAACAAGTCTCACAATCCGGTAACTAATCCCGCCACCGCTCTCACTCCTTATCCCTTTCCACTCAGAGATTTGCCAGACCATCTATCTAGGACGTGAATTGTTCAACAACCCAGGGCCTCAAAAAACGTGAATAAGTTCAATCACAACGTCCTTAAAAAGCGGACGTACAATAAAAAACGTAATAATGGTTTAGAAAGATTTGTTTTAATTAAACTTAGTGCTCAATTTAGCGCATCTGTGTTTTAAATTCTGTCCACTAAGAATGTTGTCATTATCAGTTGTTTTTGTTGGTGTTATGTTTGATAGTGAAAAGCTTCTAACCATTTGACTGTCCTAACATTTTATTTTTAAAACCTACTTTACACATAACATTAAAACAAACATGCTTTCAATTAAAATATAGAAAAATGCCAAACATTTGAAAAGTGCATGTACTTATTGAAACAGTCATATAGTTATTTAAGTAGTGATGATGATGGTGGTCAATTACCCTCATAATTAGTACAATAAACTACTCACATTTTACATTTTAACGAGATGATTTTTTATTGAATGGAGAAGATTATATTTGATAATTATAGCATAAAAATCGGCTTTTATCCCCGCTTTTGCCCATGTTTTAACGGGACCCAAACCATGTGTTAACAGAGTCATGCGCTTCTTGTTATAGCCCGCTTTTTAGACTGATTGCTGGCGGCATCCATTTTTGCGTATCTGATTGT